ACGCCTGGGAAGAAACACAATGGATCGTTTGGAAAATATTTAAAATAAGAGTAAAGAATAAATATATATATATATATTTGCAGAGTCTTAAAACTTTTTATGAAAACTAAAAATGACCTTTAAACAAAGAGTTTAAAAATAAAATTAATCATTTGATATTAGATAAAATGGAAGTTATTTCCTGTGTTGAAACTTTCAAGGGTGGATATTTTTTTAATGCTTTCTCGTAAGCAATTAAGAACCAGTAGCATTCGAATAAATTTTCTGTTCTATTTCTATCAAGGACGTTCGATGCTTCTGTTTAATACCTCCAGTATGATTGGATGAAATTCCTTAAATGAAATAAAATGGTATCTCAATCACAAATGTGAAACGATGGTGTATTTGAATAATTAGGCGAATATCTTGAGTACTTTTATAACTTTTCCAAAATAAAGCGTATTGAGGTCTAATCTGTTTGAGATACTTCAGTGTTATTTTTTACCTATTTTGAAATTTTAAAAAATATATCCAAATATTTATTTATGAAATAATAGAAATTTCTTTTACATGCAAGACATAGCCATTTAGTGCTCTTTTAAATATTACTTGTAAACTTGGAAGTAATAGTATCATGAAACTTATAATAACTTGGTTTACCTAAATGGAACTGACAGTGGCACACAGAGGAGGGGGGTCCGGACCCCCCCCAAAGCTCTTGATTTTTTTCCGATTGATTATAATTCCAAGTATATAGTACGTAGAATTTAATTAAGCATTTGTTATTAATGATTAATTTTATTAATTAATGCTAATTATTTATTCAATATTTAGTTTTTTACTGTATTTTGTTCCCGAAAATCGACAAAATCAAAAGGAGCATGATATTTACAAGAATGGTGAACTTTCGACCCCGGACCCTCCCCTGAAAAATTCCTGTGTGCGCCACTGGGAACTGACATACATATAACACAGAAAGTCTAAATTTAAGATATCTTTTGTTACTAGCAAATATGTTGAGTAGATTCAATTATAATATTTATGCGTTTTCTAAAATTTTTTTTAAAAGTTTAAACCAAAGGAATAATTTTTGTGTTAGTTTAATATTCTCGTACTCGTATCGTCGACGAACTGGTTTCGTATTAAATATTATCAAAATATTAACTATAGCTTGATTTCGAAAATATTTTTTACAAAAGCGTTTTCAGTAAGTAGATATATTTAAGTACATAAATATGGAACACAAATTCTGAAGAAAATTAAAAATATGAAAATAATTAAAGTACCAAAGTACAAAATCTCAATGGCGAACACAATAATAAAAAAAACCCAATATGTATATATATATATATATATATATATATATATATATAAAAGAAATATGTATTATTTATCAAAAACAAGAAATAATAGATAAAGAACATAACAAGAAATAGCATAATAAAAATATAAAAGCTGAACATGAAGAACAAAATTATAGAGAAATAAAAAAAGAACTACAAAAAGTAGAACCTAGCGAGTCAGAAAGCAATTTCGGACTTAGGACCGAATAAGTGGGGTTAAACTAGTTTAAAGGCGCCAACCTTCCCCCTTTGCAACTCGGTAGGAAAACCAAATAAAATAAAATAAACAAAACTTCAGAGTATGGATAACTCAGAGAGCATGATAAAACCAATCACTATTATTATGTAACAAACTCTCCCAAAACTCTTAATGCAGAAAAATCACAAAATCACAAAATAATTATGTAAGAAAAGTAGAAAAATGCTAAAACAATTACATAAGAAAAGTATCATTCAAAAATTAATTTAACAAAATTTCTTTACTCACAAAGCTTTTACGAAGAGAAACAAGCGTCTTACCATTAATGAAAGTCAATTATTCACTAAGTTAAAAAATTCGAAAATACATAACCATATCCTTTGAGCTGACTTTTATACCAGCCAGAAAAGACAAGTATAAAATGACGACAATCAAATATGGTAAAATTTGAATTGGTTGATTGTCAAAAATGTAAATTTGCTAGGCTATAATTTGGTTGGTTGTCAACAATGTGTAAGATGTTCAAGATGTGTGTGGAAAAAATGTAAACTGTGATATGAGTGTTATGATAAAATCTTCACAGCAAGACCACTAACATGCTGACTTTGAAAACCTATTGTTGTGTGGTGGATTTGGAATTCGAAGTAGCAAGCTGGTTAATGTATTTGTGATGAATATAAGATCTCAAGAAATTAAAAGGGTATTCATGATCTAAACAACATTGAAAATTTTTTTTTATATTATTGTATTTATCGATTTTGTGGGTAGTTAAGTTATCATTTCTAAATAAAAAATTCAAAATGATATATCTGTAAATTGATATATGTAAATTACTGTTCCATACGGGAATTTTAATTATATGGAACTTATATATATATATATATATATATTATATATTTTAAAAATATACATATTTTATTCTATTTTTATAAAGTATATTGTTTGCTATTGCAAATGATGCATTCTTTGTAATATATAATTCTTATTTACTCTGTAATAAATATTTTGTTATGAAAACATTTTATTAGATAGCATAAGGGGGAGGGATCTCCAAGAATTTTTGAGAAAAATTAATAATTGCTGTATGTACACACTATTATGAAAAATACTAAATGAAGTGTGAATATTTAAACGATTTTTGGAGGGAAAAAGTTCGTATAAAATTTATTTAAAATTGAATTATTAAATTGCTTAAACTTAAGGGAGATTTACTCCATCATTTTCTCAACTTCAAATTTATTCACGTTTCATTTTAATATCTGATCAAAATGTTTCTTACCAAGTTAAAAGTTTGGTATTAATTAAAGTTTCCTGATATTTTCAGTGCCCCGAAGTAATATATTTAACTGTCAGTTACCTGAAACAAATGAGAAAGGTTTTATTTTTAATTAAGTTATGTGCTCCGTTGGACTACTTCTTTTGTTTTAACTAACAGCTTCACAATAACGTTCGATTCCACGCATTTGTTTCCTTCAGTGCACGGTGATTATTCTTTTGTTTGAAATATGACTACCTAAGTAATTTTTCATTGTATTTATTATGCTAACTAAACATTTGTTTTTAAAAGGTACGTGACACTACATTAATATTGATGTGAGTATTGTTTTACAAATCTGATAAAAAGTTTTTGCTCTCATTTTTGACTAATGCAAAACTAATTTTAAAACGCTATAATAAATAAAATAAGTGAACAATTTTGATATAATGGTTTTATTTTTAGAAGAAATCCTGTTTAGGATTCGTTTTTTATAATGAATTTTCAATTTTAAGAAATTTGTGTTTACTGTGATAAGTTAACTGATGAAGGCTTGATTAGTTATAGTTTCAAAAATATTTTTTAAATGGTTTGATGAATCTGGCAGAAAAAATGTTTTATAATGCTGTGAAATTATCTGAAGTAAAATTAGGTGTAAAAGTTTAGTAGGAATTAATAATTCTAAATCAGTTTCTTGCTTACAACTTAATTTTTTTACGTACAGATTTTTCAATAAGAACAATTGGTAAAAAACTGTGAATAATATTTAAATCTAATATAATTGTTGTTCACACACATTAAAAACAATTTTTTAATCATAAAAACTGCTGACATGCTTAGAAAATATTTACAAACGTTTTTAAAAAACGAAAAATGTGTGTCCTACAGATTTTCATTGGATTTAAAAGTAAAATTAAAAAGGGTTATAAAGTGAACGCATTTTTTTTCTCAAAAATTTAAACGAATATACTTTAAAGAACCTGAAGATGATCCGAGATTTAAAAGTTCATGAAAAAACTTGATTCGAAACACATACTTATATTCTAATTTTTTTATCAAACCAAGAAAAGATAGTACCTTAAATTTCTCTGAAAGCATAACATAATTGATTTTATTACAAGAAAGCTTTTGTTATTTCCCCCTTTAATATTAAAACAAGAAAACTAGAACTTCTTTAAAAGTGAAGAAATACGCAACGAAGAAAGTTTTCTAAAATACCGAGTTTTAACTCTTCCGAGGATCAATACAGTAGAAGAAAATGCTTTGGGTATGCGAAAGTTATCAGTTCGCGCTGTCCGAAAAAAGCTACTTGCAGTTCCCAAAACTTCATCGTCGCCATAGCAACCGCCCAGCCTGACTGACAGCTGCCTGGAAGTCTAAAACTAATGTTTTGTCTGGTGTATGTCGGAAGTAACGTTCGAATATGACGAACCGGCCATCCCTTCTTTTTTGCTTTTATTAGTGTGCAGGTGTGAAGATTGGTAAAGGATCGCGTTTTTTCTCTCTCCCTTGGTATGCTCTTCTCAGAGGAATATTTTTCTTAATTGGAAAATAGTTGAGCATTAATTTGAACCTTTCTCCTTTGCGTAAAGCTCATGTAATCGTTTTAATGTGGCAATTATGTAAATTGTTCTCTTTGGGAAAGATTAATAACAATATAAGTTTGTTACATAATGATTAAGAGGAGTAGTGCATTAATCATGTTTTGGGATTGAAATATTAATTTGTGTGTTTTTCTAATGAATTCTAACACATTTTGGGAATATTATAGAGGCAGACTTTTTTTTTAAAGTACTGATGTTAAAAAATTAAGTTCACATTTGTTGCGTTTATTTATTTATTTTGAGTATATATATATATAAAAATGAAGTGGAAATATTGTATTCATTTTTAAATATTTGTGAATAAGGTGTTGGAATTTATGAAAAAAAAAAGTGTTTATTTTTAAACTAATTCTTATTTTTCAATTCTTACTATTTGTTCACACTCTCCCTATGTATATATATGTATATATATCTTGTACAAATTTCAATCGTTAATAAAATTCTTTTTATTCATCCACTCAAGTTCAAATACAATTTTTTAAACTTGTAGCAGATGACACTTGATGTTAATACAATTTTTTCAAATATTAACTCATTAATTAAATTTAATGAATGAATGAATAGTAACAAACAAAAATCATTGTCCAATACTCTTTATAGAAAGGAAAATCGCTCGTTGTGTCACTGTAGCGCAATGGATAGCACGTTGGACTTCTAATCCAAAGGTCGTGGGTCCGAATCCCACCTGGGATTGACTAATTTCTGAGAAAGTGATTTCTTTTTACTATTCTATTATATTGGAATAATTAAATTTAAGTAATGAATGATTAGTAACAAACAAACACAAAATAGTTCAACATCATACAAAGAAAGAAAAAGCTAGGAAAATCGTTTTCTATTTTTTCACTGAATATTGTGATTCTGTCATATGTATATACATATTTATATTAATTTTAACTGTTTAATAAAAAGTAACTAAAATAAAATTTTTCTTTGTTGACCTAAGTAGGAATTGACTTAAATTTTTTTATATATATATATTAATTGTTATGTGTGTTTCAATGAATCATTTGTGGGTTTTCTCTCATCTTAAAGAAACATTTTCAAATATCTGATGATGAACGCCATTCTACATTATTTTTTCCCATTCAAATCAAGGTACTGTTCTAGATTTGCAGTGAAAATAGCAGAAATTCTATAAAATTAAAACATTACTTTCAGACATAAATTCAAAATGGCGGGTAGATTATCAGCTTACATTGATTTTTAGGAATAACAGTTTTTCTTCATAACGTTTGTAATTTTATCCTATTTAATTGTCTCTCAGCTCTTACATTTATTTTACGTGGAAAAAGTGGTAAAAGTTATTTAAAACTTTTCTCCTTTGAAATACGTTGGCCATTCCTGACAAAGAACCCATCTTCACACGTGTACAGGACGGTAATTTTACCTCTCACAATGGACGTCGTAAGAAAACGGCGAAGATTATTTCGTTTTCTGTGAGAGACGTTGGTAAAGTTTGTGGGCGTCGCTATTCTCAAATAACGAGAGGATTGTTCCAAGGCCTTTTTTCTCGTTTTCCTCTCCCCCCACTCGACTAGAGGGGAGGATCTGCCATTGTCTTTCAGCTACCCCCTTCTCCAGCCGACGTAACAAGAGCTGAAGAGGGGGCTTGGGGAGCCCCTAATTGTACTGGAGGGTACTTTTTCGTCTGCGGGGAATATTGTTCTAGAAAATTACCTCCTTTCGTTGACCTCTTTTTCGTCTTCATTTTCTTTCTTTTTTTTTTTTTTTGTATGTTTTTCTCATGTGTATTATATCTTTTTTGGCATTTGTTGGCAGAAATTTCGTGAAATTGCATTTCATCTTTCTATGTTGCGTAAATGTCTTTATATGTATGGATACAATCACAAGGACAGAATCAGTAATTAAGTTGAAGAAAAGATGCACTGTTTTGTTATTTGTGATATAAATATATAAAAAGGCAATAAATAATCGTAGATATTTCATTTTTCCCTCTTTTTGGTAAAGAAGGAACTGTTTTTTTTTTGTACTGCACAAGTCTAGGTATGTTTACAAAAGTACTTAGTAAATGATTTTATTTTTTTATCGTAACTTCGTGTATTTGTGTTGTTTTTTAATCAAATGCAATTATAATGGGTTTGTGGTTATATATTAGTGTGGATCGATTTTTTTTTCTAAAACTTCAAAACCTGCCAATGCGGAAAATGCTCTTTGGCAGGGCTATAATAATTTTCAAAATAGCTGTCATTTAGTTTATCATATGTCAGATTTTTTCTAAGTCCGTAAATGTCCATAATTCTGAAGATATGTATCAAATACGGTCCATTACAAATTTATCAGCCTTCATCCACTCAAAAATTGACAAATTTGTTGAGTAGTGCAGAGTGCCACTGAGAATTTTACCGCGTGGTACATGTGGCACGCGTGTCATACGTTGCTGACCCCTGCAACGGAACATATTTTCTGTATAGGTTGGTTACGATTCATAATAGTTCGTTTTTTTCTCCATTTTACTTTAATCCACCGTAATATATATTGCACAATTTAAAGTGTATTTAAAAATTATTCTGATTTTGAGCTTTTTACAAAATTTGACGACAAATATTTCGAATAGCGTAAAATTTAACACAGAAACATATCTTAAAAAATTGGTAGATCATCAGATTTTTAAAGTTTTAATTACTTATTTAATTTTTATAATTTTTTTCGGTTTTAAGGAAATTATTCAACTGACAAAAATCGGTCATAAATTCAAACAATTTTTTTTAGTCAAAATTATTTTTTTATACAATTATCTAAAATCTGAGAAAATTTGAAAGCTCCAAGTTAAAAAAAAATTATAGTTTTGATAACTTTCCATGTTCTTTTTTATTCACATCCCAATGGCTAATAAAAACTTGTAAACTGGTTTATCTCGGAAGGAAAAAATAACTAATTTATTATCATTTAAAATGCTAGGGCTTTTTTTTGTATATTGCCAAATACTTTGCCGTTTTCTTTGACAAATTATGACAAATTTGACTTAGTACATGTAACAAAAGTTTGTATCCATTTCTGAATCAAATCAATGCTTTTTTTTCAATTAATTGAATTTAGAATTTATAAATTTTTTAAGGAATTTTCAATTGGCATTCGGAAAACAAGTATTTTACGAGTATCAATCATGTTACCTGAAAACCTATACCAACTTTTGTTATGCATAGTTCGAGGTAAATCAAATTTCTTGTGTGTGTCTTAATTACTGTAGGAGGAGTAGCATTTTCAAATATCTTCATAAATGTTTAAATTTTCTTTAAAAAAGCTAAATGATAAACTTTTTGTGGTATTTTGAGTGCGCAAACTGTTTTACGTAATACATGCGCATAGGTTACACAAGCAAAAGAAATTGTAAAAATTAATTCAATCAAAATTTGCTTATAAAGCTTGTTCCCGTGAATACCGATTTAATAATTATTTAATTCTTGAGATGCATTTGAAAGGAGTCCATTAGCAATCTAAAAAAAATTATTGAACTAGGAAACGAGGCAGCTGTTAGGATGGATATTGGCCTACACAGCAAAGTTCGAGTGAAAGGCATGTTTAAGTCTTTCTTTCTCATGTTCTTAAACTAACACAGAATTACGTGTTTTAATTAATCAGTTGAAAAATGTTGATAGTATAATCAAGAAAGGGCGTTCTAAGTTGAAAGGTTTGAAAGTTTCAGACACTTGCTGATTTTGTAGGTTATTGATTTTGAATAAGGTTTAGTCTATTTTTGCGGTCTGAAACGGAATCACATAATTAAGTTTTTGAAATTTTAGATTGGGGAAATTTAAAACAGAATTTGCATAAGTTTAGTCTAACCCAGGAGTCGGGAATTTTGTAGTTGTGGTGTGCCAAATCAATCTTTTAAAAATGTTTCAGTGTGCTACACAGTAAGAAGTATTAAACGTAATTCGCGGTTCCCAGGGCAATCAATGTATGTGTCGCAGGGAATGTTGAAATTAGGTATTTCATCAAATCCCTAAATGACATGATCGATTCACGCAAGATGTTAAAATAACGGCTCTTTGAGGTCTTTTCCCTGTTGTAAGTGATTTTATCATATCCCTCAACTGTTTCAGTGAAATGATGAAATGAATTAGTCAGGATTCACATTGGCAAAATGCTATTCAGAGGGGGATCTATCCCCTAAATATCAACCCCATTTCTTTAAAAAAAATGGCACACCATAGGATTAACAAAGGGATTGATTACCTGCCTAATTTTCTAATTATTTATTAATTAGTTTCTAATAAATAATTTGTGTTCCATTGACTATTATTGTATTACTTCTGCGTTTAATAATGCACCCTGTTTGTTAAATGAACATTTTTAAACTCTTGACAAAATTGTTTCATCATTTCACTGAAACAGCTCAAGGGTTCGTTCAAATCCCTTACTTTTATCAGTACCTTGAAGAGACGTTATTTTAACAGCCACCGTCAAATGATCCTCTCCCTTAGGTATTTGATGAGATTCCTAATTTCATCATTTTCCTGCGACGTATAGTGTAGGGAATAGAGGTCAGAATACAGATTACATCATTTAAAGATATATATTAACATAAAGAAATAAACAGCATGTCCCTGCTAGACAAATAAAAAAAAATAAAACTGTACATAATTCATGTATCTTTTTAACATATTTAATTAAAATCAGAAATAAACGTCATAAAATATAAATATTCTTTCAATCTAGTTCAATAAAAAATAAATATTTTATTTCGAACCTTGTCCCTGTGTTTTTTGCTTTGCTTCATATCACTATATCGGCGGTAGTCACCCATCTGGTATAGTAGTTAGTAACGCTGACCTGCTGCTCCTTAAGGCCTGGGTTCTACTCCCGGAGAAGACATGGATGTTTGTAAATGTCAGTGGCTTTGCGGCATGGGGGGGTACTCTAAATAGCTGTCGAGCTGCAAGTTTTTTCGTGTGGTTGGAGGAAGGGGAAGAGAGGTGAGAGGTCCCTGACCACACCTAGGGTGTTCTCCCTCAAAATTGGGGTGGAACCGAGCCAAAACGTACTGTCGCCTGAATGGTGCTGGAAGCTACGGCTAACGTCAAGCGTACATATAGCCCTTTGCCGCGATGAATTTCGTGGGCCTCGATCTGGCACAGGCCGGATCAGGTGGCATTAGTAACAACAGCATACCAGGGGATTAATTTGATTTTCAATTTTTGACACAATTCTCAACATTTAGTTGTTAAACAATCTTCTTGGTACACTCAAAATATTTATCATATAAAAGATGTGTTCACATTGAGAGTATTTAGAAACAAAAGTTGGAAACAAATTACATGTAATTTTCTTTTAACAATGAAATCCCTCCATCAATAGTATCGAGAAGTTTAAAAAAGCTGCCGATTTTTCGTTACTGTTATCTTGCATATTTTTTCTTAATTCCGTAAATTTTTATTTCTATAATTGTTTTATAAAGGAAAAATTTCTTACTTTATTGAAAATGCTAATATAATGATTTCAAATGTTGTTGAATATTCCATTACACAAACCATGGTTTAAGTTTTATTAAAAGAAATTGAACGACTCCATTGATGTTTACAACGATCATTTGCAAATAATATAATGCTATATCTAATGCATAACTACGAATTCTCTTTTGCATTTTGTTATCTATTTAAATTTCTTCTCTGATGGCGTCATGATAATAATCTGAATATTTTTTTTTCTATTTTAATATGTTTATTTTTACTG